CTAGGGGCCTGTTTATTGAAAGCACAGAGTGCCTCATCCTGTTTTTCATCTTGAATTCCTCTCAGGGGAGACTGCAGTGGGTTTCAACTTAACCCTTATATAGCTGGGTGATGAGCGATGCTCTATGTTCTTCTTGGCTCACAATTTCTTTGCTCATTAAAGTTGTTTATAAAATCCGGTTCTTTGTGTTTGTGGGGCTGAAATCCTCATTTCCTTGCTGCTGTCAGCTGAGAGTCACCCCTAGCTCTAAAGGCCACCCACACTCTTTGGTTCCCTTCCTCCGCCTTCAAAGTCAACAATGGTAGGTTGTGTCCTCCTCACACTTCTAATCTCTCCTCCTTCTTCTTCTGTGAATATCACTAGCTACAGCCAAGAAGGTTCTCAGCTTTTAAAGACTCATTGGCCCACCTGGATTACCCAGGATAACCTCCCCATCATAAGATCTGCAACCCTTAATCACATCTGCTAAATCCCTTTTGCTATGTAAGGTTTCCTAGGTTCTAGGGACTAGGTGTAGACACCTTTTGGGGGTCATTATTTTCCCTACCACAGAGATGAACTAAAAAAGAACTTTCAGTTTACAACAGAATTTAGAGGAAATATAGAGGACTCAGAACAGTCCAGTAAAAGATTTTTAACATAAGAAATGGCCTCAGGATAAAATTTTAATCCAAGGGGATGGCTATAAAACTCCTTGTTAAGACCTCTGAAAGATTCAATCAGTGATTTGAAGACTTCCTTAGGTAAGACAAAGGGGTTTCTACAAATCTGAAGGGTCTCAAATGTGGCCCAATGTAGAGAGATGCCTATCTCAAAAAGAATTATGTCTGTGGCTTTGGGGGCAGGAAGTAAACCCCAGTCAGATTTATAAGAAGCCTGCAAAGTTTTTAAGGGAATTGTATTAACTTGGATTAAAAGGAACAGAGACAGTTCAAAATTTTAAAAAGGCCTCTGGGCCTCCAACTTTGTTTGGGTCGGAGGCAGACTGGGAAAGCTACTCAACTACAAACAGGAGTCGTACTTTATGGAAAAGAAAGGACTCAGTGGCAGGGCAGAGAGCCAAGGACAGCAATAGATGAGGAAACCCAGTAACACTAAGAGCAGAGCTATGCCCTAATAAAGGAGCGTTCCCTGGCTCTAGTGTCAAGGGAGCTAGTGACATATGCTCAACTGGATTTCCGGATTCTGTGGTTCAGTGTACACTATGTTACACTATGTTCTTTCCATTCTAAATGCACATCTGCTCCCTCCCCTCACTTTATGAAATTGGAGTGTTTATTGCTGTTATGCTGCTCGTGTTTCACTGTTAAATGTTGGAGGCTGGGGCAGGGGGAGATGAGGAAGGCACATAATTTGTCTTTTTAGTTCACAGTTCTTTGAATCAACAGGTGCTGTACCCAAGGAGCTGAACCGGTGGAATCATACCCAAGGAACTTTGCCTGCACCTGTACTTGATTTAGGTGACAAGATATACAAACATGACTTTGGTGATTAAATGAGACCTTGGGGTCTTAGGAATGGGCAAATGTAGTTTGCCCGTGAGAGGGACATGAACCATTGTGGCCAGAGAATAGACTATGGTAGCTTGCTATATAATGGCCTGCAATGAATCATGCCTTCCTGTGTTCCACAGCCCTTTGCACTGTGACATTGTCACTCCATCCATGAAGATATGGAATCTATTCCTCCACTGGCCTTGTGACTACCTTTGACCATGAAAAGAGGTCTCTGGGCCTCCAGCTTTCTTTGGGCAGGAGGCAGGCTGAAGGAGGTCGAAGAATGTGGTGAAAGTAACATTATTTGAGGTCCAGAGCCTAGATCTTAAGAGGTGCCATAGCTTCCACAATCGCCCTCTTAGAACACTGCTCTGAGACTACTAAGCATGTGAAGAAGCCTTGTTTGAATGACTATATGGAGAGAGACTCGTGGCCATCCCAGCTGTCTCATCAGCTGAGCCCAGCCCCCAGCCAACCTGCTAGCTGAATGCAGCTGCCTAAGTAAGGCTAGGTAAGAGCAACAGAATGTCTACTCAGTCAACCAACAGAATCGTGAAAAATAACAAATCACATTATTTTAAGCCACTGGGTTTTGATATAATTTGTTACTTAGTAGTAGATAACTGGAACTGTAGTTTACGCAGCTTAAGTAAGTGGTAAGATAGATCTCTTAATAGCTCATACATTATCTGTTTAATCATACAATTATTCCAAAAGTGAAAATGAATAGTGATGGCAAAGTATCATAATCATAAAAGGCCTTAGATTGATCAGTATTATTTAACATTTACTGAGTAACCATAAACTATAGAATTATCTTTAAACTAGAATGAAGTGATACTCATCTAATAAGTTTTTTACTTTTTGTGAAATTTGGCATTGTTGCAAATATAATCTCAATATACCCATTAACTGTATCACCCTCAATTGAATTCTGAAATTAATAGAGAAGTCATATAAAGAAGTAAAGAATGAAAAAATAAAAAAAACCTTTATACTGATCATTATTACCTGGGCAATAAAGAAAGTCTAGCTGTAAAGATAAAATGGAACAATAAAACAGTCAGGTGGCAAAACTCTCATCTTCATCAAAAAGTCAAGAAACGCTCTCAACTTTTTTCCCGTTAACAACTGTTTTAGTAAGATTCTGGGACTGTGTAGGATTTGTTCATATACTCATTTGTTATTTATTTGGCAAACATTTATCAAGTGCTTATTAATGTGTCATGCATTGTGTTAGATACTGGAGATATAATAGTGAATGAGATAGATTTGGTTTCTGACCTCACAAAGTCAGTTGGGGATAAAAGGCGGGTGGGTAATGGAAATGTAAATACACTGCTACAATAAAGTGTGATAGGTGACAGGATAGGACAATAAAATCGTCCTTTGTCCTTCTGTATCCCTGGGGGATTGGTTCCAGACCACCATCTCCCCGTCACCCCCAAAGGATACCAAAATCTTTGGATACCCTTCCATAAAATAGCGTAGTATTACACAGTATAGCATATGACCTATGCATATCTTCCTGTATACTTTAAATCATCTCTAGATTACTTATAATACTTAATACAATGTAAATGATATGTAAATAGTTGCCTGAGCATGGCAAATTTACGTTTTGCTTTTTGCAACTTTCTGAAATTGTTTTTTGCAAAAAATTTTCACCTGTGGTTGAATCTGTGGATGCGGAAACCCATGTATATGGAGGCCTAACTGTATAGAAATAGGATTTTGTTGATTCTTTTTAAAAGTTTCTTTATCTCAATAGCTTCTAAGCTGCAACTGTAAAAACACTGTTGTTTCTTTTGTAAATTGTTCACTTTTGCAGGGAGTGCTACATCTTTACCCCTCACATTCCAAGTTCCTAGAGACCTATAAATGCCCTTGGATTATATCCTATGGGAATCCTATTTATTTATTTATTTTTGTCTGCACTAGGTCTTTGTTGCAGGGCAAGGGCTCTTTGTTGCGGTGTGTCAGCTTCTCTAGTTGCAGAGTGCGGCGGGGGCGGGGGGGGGTCTAGAACGCACGCATGCTCAGTAGTTGCAGCGTGTGGCCTTAGTTGCCAAACGTGGAGTGTTAGTTCCCCGACCAGGGATCAAACCTGGGCCCCCTGCATGGGAGTGCGGAGTCTTAACCACTGGATCACCAGGGAAGTCCCTGGGAATCCTTTACTGTGTTGTCTCCTGATACTACTGATCCACAAAGGATGCTGCATAACAGAAAACATTATTCTTTGATTTTCCCTTAGGATTTCCAGCTGGTGCCTAAATGGAATTTTCAGAATAAAGAGTATCTTCAGAGGGCACGTAATATAAGAGGTAGTTTCAAATGTCTACAGTTTGCTTTTACTCATGCCCCTTTAAATCTCCAGCCCCTTTAAAGACTACCAGCCTCATTTTTGGTTTGTTTTTGACTGTGCTATCTCACAGACATCTTGAAGACCAAGACCATCCCCTATTCATACGTGTAGACCAGTAATCACATGATAATATGTGATGAATGACTCAAAGAACTATTGCAGAAAAATGATCGGTTTGAGATGATGACTATTTTCCCATTGCATTTTTTTATCTGGGCATGTTCAAAACTTTGATTTTAAAACCACACTAGCAAGCCACCAAAAAAAGAAAAGAAAAAAATAAACACAAAAAGCAAGATGAGAACTGTACTTAGCTTGTTTTTAATACTGTTTTACATGTGAATGATTATTTTAAGACATTACTAAAGAAAATAGTTATTTGTCTTACATTATTCATAAACTTTATTATCATATATGTGTCAGGGACAATACAGTACAAAAACAAAACTAAAATGACAACCTATTTTGTTAAATTAAACTTGTAAAAACCAACACACTATGCATAGTTTCAATAAGATACAGTTACTAGAGTGCCAAACAGATATTTAAAAATTAACAAGGAAAAGCAGGAAATGGCACTGCTCATACAAAAATTTACGTCCTCTTAGACAACAGATGTTGAAAAATGATTTCCTAACAAAAGCAGCAGCCCTCGAGAAGGAACTGATAACCCTAGGAATAAGTTTTCTTTATATAATTGCTGTAAAGTTTGACAGCAAATAACTCCTCTTCCTCCCTTGAGGAGTTAAACTTGGATTTGTGATTGCTGTAGTTTTCCTGTAATCAAGCCACAGGCCTTTTGCCCCCTTTCAGGCTGCCCTTCACTCTTCTTTTTCCTTAGTTAAGGAAATGTGAAGTACAAAGAAGAAAGAGTTGTAACCCCTCCCTCCCACTTACCTCCTCTCTGCGTTCGGTTACTTGGCACCTTCCCTTCTCAGCGTTTCCCAGTCAGCCCTACTAAGTTCCCAGGGCTCCTGCTCCTCCCATTCTCCCCTCCCCCAGCTCTCCCGGGCCCTTTCTTTTTTTTTTTTTCTTCATCCGCTCCCCTCCCCTAGGCGTGCTTCCCAGCGCGCTTCTCTTCCCCGCCTCTCGATCCCTCATCCCCCCTCCCTGCCCGCCTCCTACCTTGTGACACATCCCGGGTCCTCCCGGAGGCGGCTGCAGCGGCAGTAGCGCTAACAGCGCCTCCAACCGGAGCCGCAACCCCAGACTCAGCCTCCACCCCGGCCCCGGCGCCACTGCTGCAGTCATGGCTGCTGATGGGGTGGACGAACGCTCGCCTCTGCTCTCCGCATCCCATTCTGGAAATGTCACTCCCACGGCCCCACCATACTTACAAGAAAGCAGCCCCAGAGGTAAGGCCAGCATAGATCTTTCTACTTTGTAAGAAAAAGCCTAGGATGTAAAGACCAGGGAGTTCTGAGGCGGAGGCCAGCCTCTCACTTGGGCTGAGAGAGAGGGATGCTGACTGTGCCTTCTGAAGCAGAGCCTGCCTGCCTGAGAGCTTCACCGCAGGGCTTTCTCGTGGTGTAGTGTGGGGTGTGTGAGTGTATGCGTGTATGTGTATTTCACCCTTTCTTACCCACGGGTATGGGATGTGTGTGTGTGCACCGTGTCTTATCCACTGCTGTTTGTGTGTGTGTGTGTGTGTGTGTGTGTGTGTATTTCACCACTTCTGACCCAGGGGTACAGGATGTGGCATGAATTTCCCAGGTTGGGCTTTGCTGTTTTAGAGCAGCTCCTAAGTGCAGCTGGATGGTTGTGCAAATCTTTCACAGTCATTCACAAATTCTTCCACGTTGCTGAGAAACCAGGAGTACTGCTCACCTTGGCATCTGTCCTTGAAAGGGCTTAGCTTGAAAAATATGCATTTCCTACCATTCACCCACCAGTAGTCTGTTCAATCAGGGAATTGCCTTAGCAAAAGGAGAAGAGTTAATCAATATTCCTAACATGTCTGAAATCTCTGCCCTTCCTTATTGCTTCTACTTGTAAGGAGTATGTGTTAGTTTTAGTGGTAAAATGAGGAATAGAAGAGAAGATGGAATATTTTTGATGCGCATCAAAAATGCAGTGAGATTGAGTGCATTGAGTGAGATTGAAATTGACTTTTAAAAGTAACCCAAGTTAATAAAATAAATATTTCTATTTATTTCTCTTCGTAAAGTGGAATCAAGAAAGATTTGATGGCAATGGGGTCTGAAGAAAGAAGGGGGAAATCTATTTACCAAACTATTCAATTTATTCCAAGATCTATCCTTGTTCTAAGCCTTTTAGTTGATTCCTATAGTAGAAATAAGGCGGAGTCAGTAGTTATAGAAAATGGAAGGCAAGACTTTAAAAAACCACTTAGAGTAGTGAAAAGATTGGTCAAATATGGCACTTGCAAATGTAGGTTAAATGCATCTCTCCTTTTTGGCTGAATGTGAGACATTTAAAAACCCAAGGAGGCAAACATTAATGCCTTTGAAAATGTGGGTGGATCCTGTTTCCTGTAGCACAACTTTTTCTACGTTCAAGTCTGGAATTGGAGCAGCTGTAGAGCAGGTCGAACTTGTCAAGTATTTAAAATTTCCATTTAATACTTTATAACTTGAAAAGCAACAATCTAGATCTTAATCCACACTTAACAAGAAGCAGGACAAAGGAAAAGGATGTTTAGCTGTGAATAATTTAGTGTGATTAATGAGTTGAGAAATAAGGTGCAAAATGGTACAGATACTCACCCATAGAAAACCCACAAGTCATGTTTGTTGGTCAGCATTAAACACGTGTCAGAGGACACCTCTTGGGGGAATTTCCTTAAAAGGCAAATTTGATGTTAATGTGTTTACTGTTATCTAAACTGTATGGTCTACAACAGGTTTAAACACTTATTTAATGACTGTTTCAATTTCATCAATTCACCCTTTTAAGACAAAATATTTGATGATTTATTGAGAGACAGAATTTAGATTTAAGAAACTGTCCCATAACAGATTTTCATGCTCTCTATCTTGCATCTATATTTTTTATTTTTAGTCAGAGAGTGGCTAAATTATCCCACAAAAATGGGCATACTCCCGGACCTGCTTGTAGACTTCTTTATCATTTGCCAAATAGTTGTTATTCTGATAAGACTTCTCAAAGCACAAAATATGGTACAAGTTTCAGCTCAGCCACTAAGAAAAAGAAGTTTCATTCCAGAAAACTTTTACCTAAGAAATTCAATGTGTTATAAAACAAAATTCAACTGAGTACATTTTAAAGATCTTATTGGCTTTATTTCATGATTCATGAATCAGGCAGAATCCCGCCTAGCAGATAAAAAGGAGCTCTAAGGAACTGTACAAAATTAAAGACTCATATAGGCAGAAGGGAGTGGGACAGGGAAGTTATACTAGCAAAATGTGGATTGGTTGTGGCAAGGTCACTTTTCTTTAGGGGATGGCAGGGGCCTATCAGGCAGATGACCTCACTAGTGCTGATCAGGAGATTCCTGATTGATTGGGTTAAGAGTCCATTTCTGAGAGAGGCATAAGTGACTCCATTTTGGGTCTGTTGTCTTGTTTGTAACAATGTTTTAGCAAAAAGCTCTTTCTGCCTATTGTAGAACAATTTTTTTTTTCTTAACTGGTGAATGAGACAGGTTAGATAATTAGAAACACTAATTTCATATGGCGTAATACCGAGGAAGCAAGAAGCATAAATGAGAAGTAAAAGGCATTTTTTTTTGCATTTTCGGCAAAATATCTTTTATTAATAACAAATAAGAATCTTGATAAATATTTTGAGTAACTATACAAGATCTGATTCTAGAAGAACAGTGCTAATTACTCATTCAGTAATGCATCAGGTGGGACAACGTGCCGGAGACTGCTCTAGGTAAACAAGAGTAACCAAATCCATGCCCTCATGGGACATGAGGAAAAAGAATAAGTAAAGGCATGGTTGAATCATTTCAGATTGTAAGAAACAGTCTGTCACTAGACCAAATATTTTCAGTAGTTGATAACAGTAGAGTTGAAGCTTGGGATTCAAAAGACCAGAAATAGAATGTACTTTTTGGGAAAGAACTTTGGTTTATGATAATTACCATCTATAATTACCCAGACATTAAAAAATTTTCGTAGAACTGGTTAATAGCCATAACTAGTGACTATTTTCTCCAATTCAACTCTTCGCTATTTGTGTAACCTTCTAAGAACAGGAATGTGAGATCCCACCCCAAGATGAAATATTCCACTTCAGATTGAAAGTTGATGGAGTGTTTATTTATAGACAAGTTATCGATAATGTAGTGGGGGAACAGTTAGTATTTTGCATCTGGTTTCATTTGTGTAACAAATCCTTCTGGGTTTCTAAGTGGAATGCTTCTAGTGGTCTTTGCTGTCAGTACTGGATTCCTGCATAGAGTAGGAGGGCATCACCTCTCCTGTGATCACAGTGCCCCATTTGGTATATTTGTCAGCTTTTGTTAAATCATAGAAATTAAAATCAAAGATAGTTTTAGGCCCATTTGAAAGGAGGTTGGAAAAAATACCACAAAACATACAATTTGGCTATATTTGTTTGCTTTCTTTATACATCTGCTAATTTTATAGGAAGGATGTGGCAAATGAATATGACCTCTAAATTTATGAGACGTCATCTGTGAAAAATGGTTTATATTTGGGTTGTCTGATTATGTATTGAATATGGGAATGCGATTATCTACTTCACTATAATTCTATAAGGAAAAGAGTACTTTGTTATACAGAGATAGTTTCATTTGCTTACTTTGTTTCTGTTATTCATTCAGCAAATAAATATTGGAGTACTAGCCAAGCTCTGTGGTAAGAAGGGAAAGACAGACATGGCCCCTCTTCCAGCCTAGTGGGGGATATTGAGACATAAATTACATAATCATTCAAACAAATGCAAAAGTGCAGTGGGGATGAGGACACTGCTGAAAATATATCCAGCGCCATGAGAGTATATAATGAAAAGATTTAACCTGGTCAGGAAAGGCTTTCCTGAGACTTGATTTAGCTCTGAAAGCTTAGCAGTAGTTAACTTGGCAGGGAGGGGATTAGAACACTCTAAGCAAAAAAAAAAAAAAAAAAAAAAAGTATGTGCAAAAGCCTTTAGCAGGATAGAGTATAGTAAGTACTAGGAACTGAAAGAAAGCCAGTGTGGTCAAAGTAGAAACAGCAGTAGGGAAGGTGCTGCAAAATGGGAGTGGAGAGGTTGGTGTGGTTTATATTCTCCAGAGACTCTCCTTAGAACTATGCTTTTTGATATTCAAGTCCTTAGATAGTTTTTCTCTTGAATCTGGGCTGACATTGTGATTGATTTTGGCCTACAGAATAAGATAATAGAGAGCTGAATGACTTAGGAGACTAGGTCACAAAAGGTCTTGCAGCTTTTGCCTTGGTCTCTTATAAAGTACACTCTGAGGAAAGTAACTTATATAAGAATTTGAACATCCTGAGACTGCCATGCTTTGAGGAACTGTTAACTAGCCACCTGCAGAGGCTATATGGAGAGAGGGATGCCTGTCCAGCCCTCAAACATGTGAGTGAAGAAGCCATCTTGGATGCCCATTTGAGCCTTCAGATGACTCCAAGCCAAGCCAAATTCTTACTGCACCTGCATGGCAGATTCTAGGTGATTAACATCCCAACTGAGTCTGAACAATCTACAGAATCGTGAAAGCTAATATTAAATTGTTGTTTTAAGCATTAAGTTTTTGGGTGATTTGTTCTGCAGCAACAGATGACCAGAACAGTAAGTATTAATCAGTGCATGCAGGGATGATTGGTCATGTTGAAGAATTTTGCCTTAAGCAAAGGGATGATCTGGTTAGATCTTTTATTATTTTTTAATTACTCTATCTATTGATTAGAGAATGAATTAGAGAAGGGCCAGAGTAGATGAGGATAGATGACTTTGAGTGGCTACTATAATGATTTGGACAAATCTGATAAACTGTGATGATAACTTGGACTCAGGTGGTGGTAGAAGTGGAGAGATACGTAGATGTTAAGAATTACTGAAGAGGGGTTGATGATAGGTTGAATGTAGGAATGAGAGGGAGGTGGAAAGGATATTTCCTAGAATTCTGGCTTCTACAACTTGGTGTGATTGCCTACACTGAGGCAAAACACCAGAAGAAGACTAGGTTTTGAAGAATACAGATCATGAGCTTAGTTTTAGACATGATACATTTAAGGTGCTTTCAAATATCCAAGAAGCGATGTCAGATAAGCAATTGGATTTACAGATGTAGGGCTAAGAAATGAGATCTGGGCTGAAAATATAAAACTGTGTTATTTACATATTGGTGACAGCCAAATACATGGATCTTGATTTAGAGTTTCCCAAAGCCCCATCA